CTTTATGTCAAGTGTCATTTTTCCCCCCAAGGAGAGAATAAAAGTGAACTTTATTAGTTAAGATTTGTTCTAAAATGTTTCTAACTTTTTAAATTGAACGGCTGTGTTAATTGCTGCACTTGGCTTTAGGAGATGGCTTGGTTAATTCCAAACCATATGATTATACATACATGAAGATAACAAAACTTGAGATTTTCTAGATATCCCTTCAAGCCTATTTTTTCCAATATGGGTTCTGATTTTTTTTTTCTTTATCAATATCTTGTCTTGAATCAAATCACTGAACTAAATCGCTTTTGGCTGATACTGACCCTGTTCTTTTCACAAACGATGGTGAGCGGCAGCGACTGAAAATTACACTTTTACCATAAAAAATACAGCATCGGTGAAACAACACGAATTTACTTTTTCAGTTGCAACGGTAGAAAGTAATAACTATAAATCCGACTCTAGAAATATCAGAGACTACATCGTCTCCTTTTTTAATTGTTGCGGCAAGCTATCATAATTAAATCCACTTTCAAAAGCGTTTATCTTGTTCCTTTCAAAGTGTTATTCTTTGCCGCTACCACTAGTCGCAGTGGCTATAAAAAGAACAGAGCTATTATCTGGAATTTCTTTTGAGCATGAATTGTTCAAACATCTGAAAAATAATATATTTTCTATGAATTTAATTTTTTGATATGGTCCTCTAGAACCTTGTGTTTTTGAAAAAAAAACTTAAAATAACAACAGTTTTGTGATACTTAACAAAGTAATAATCAAACTTCTTCAAAGTCAATTAATGACTTTTTGGAGTTCCTCAGGAGTGTAGAGATGATACTTTTGGATTCAGTTGAAATTGGTTGAAATCACCTTCTCCTCTTTCACAAAGAGCTTGAGGATAGTCAAAATCAAACCCACGAATAATAAAAAAATCAACAAAGAATCTTTGGAATCCTTGTAAATCCTCATACTCAGCTAGGGTTTCTCGTATAGAATCTTTGTAAATCCTCCCAAGTGTTTCTTTGTCTCTGAGTTGACTCAATCTATCATCTTGATGGTCTCCGGCGTGATTTTCTCCATCGATGACTCTCACTCTCTTGCATGGGGTTTGTCGGAGAAAAGAAAAAATACATCGATTAGAGTTAAAGGATCACCGATTATGTTTAGGTCAGGTTTAGGACCCAAAAAGAAAAAAAATACTTATTAGGAATAAAGTCCCAAAAGAAGGAAAGATTTGTCGTTCCCAAATTTCCCTAAGCGATTTTTCAACCATCTCGAATCATGGATTCTTCTCCCTCAATCCCTTCTCATCCAAACTCTAAAAAACTTATAATAACAAAAGTTTTGCTATATTTAACAAAGTTATAATCAAATTCAATTAATGACTTTTTGGACCTCCCCAAGAGTGTAGAGATGATACTTTGGATTCACCTTCCAAAGTTGAAATTGGTTGAAATCACCTTCTCTTCTTTCACAAAGAGCTTGAGGACAGTCAATGCTACTGTTTTCATATCTTTAATTGAAAGTGTTTCAGGTTTTACTCCCTCGAGTAGCTGCTCAATAAAATCAACAGCCAATTGGAAACCATGTCCGATTTACTTAAAGTGGCAGGGCCTATACTCTCCGAGAGACTTGTAAAGTACAAGCATAGTTTACGTACGTAGATCATCAAGACCAGCAAAAAGCAATGAAACACCAAATTCTTGATCAGCAGTTACCATTGTTCCTGCTTATACTCTACATAGAGAAATTATCAATCTATTTTACAAGAAATTAAGATCAATGTGAATCCAGTTGATCAAAATTACCCATCATGATGACCATATTTGAAAGCTTTGAGATTTTGTCTGAATATCGAACTCCATAGTGAGTCGCCATGACGAGGAGGATATCTATCTTATTAAATCAGAAATGTTATTAAATGAGAAATATTGTGTTAGAACTAACTTTTACTTTGTAAGTTTTTAAAATAAATACACATTCCTACTTTATAGTTAAACCTACATTAAATCACTAATATCCTTTCTTTATACTAGCTAGATCATTTCTCCGCGCTACGCACAGATTATGTATTTCAATATTTTATTTCTTTAAAAATGTTTTTGTATTATTATGTCCATTGAATTGTTTGAGTTTATATCTAATTTGATAAACTATATGTACTTTTATTAATTTATTATTGAAAATAAATCCATGAAAATACATCAATTAAATATCATTAAGCTTTTTAATACCTAAACTTTTTTATCATCCAATTTCATACTTAAACTAATTATTTATTCATACTAATACGATTAATTTTAAAACTGTACTAATTTTAATACCCAAATTATTTATAAGTTTGAATGAAAATTTGAAAAAAATCTTGAAAATTGATCACAATAAATCTTAAAATTTCTATTTTTATTTTAAGTTATATGAATAAAGTATCTAAACTGTGGATAATATTTAGAACTATATTATTAGTTGTAGTTTACATTTAAAATTTAGTTTTCTTTCTGAAGTTTAAAATTAATTAATTTATTTATTTAAAGAATTTCTAAATTTTAATATTTTATCCACAACTTAGTTACTTTATTCCTAAACTTGAAATTAAATTTGAAAATTTTCACATTTATTTTTATTTCAAAGTTTTTATTAAGTTTTGTTTGGAGTTTATTTAAATTTTTGATTAAAATGATCATAAGTTGGGTAGTAAAATGAGCACATAATTAAAATGAGAAAAATAATTAGTAAAATATTTAAACTGATATAAAATAAGGTTGTATTAAAAATTGTGAGAATATTTAGTTGTAGTATTTTTATCGGCTTTTTTCTTTATTATTTGGAATATGATTTTTTTTTCTCTACTGCCACTTATTTTCTGTTATTTTAAAATAGGATTAAGATTTAAACTCTAGAAAATAATTACCATAACTAACACACCAAATGATGAGAACACACATGTTGTTCTTCTTATTTGCCATGTACTCTGCATATTTAGTATTTGGTATAATGTTGAATTTTTTTTTATTAAATAGTTATTGAATTATATAATTTCAACTTTTTATAAATTTTCTTTCAAAAATTCTTTTTTTTCAAAATTTATTTATTTCAAATTTTCATTTTATTTATTTTTCAATTTTCATTTTCAAATTCAAATTCTTTTTAAATTATTTTTAATTTTCTTTAAAAAGATAAGTATTTATTTATATATGTATTAAAATCCTATATCTCATCTCTCAAAACAATATCCCTCAATTCTAAATTCTATATCTAGATTAGTTAATTCTATGACTATAAGTATCTATTTATTTTTTAAAAATTGAGAGTAAATGTACCTAATGTAAATATAAACAAATCTATTGAGAATGAGTTAGTTTAGACAATTGGGACCAAAATATAAAAATAATAATAAAAGTTATGAAAAATGTATACATTTAGATAACATTAAGGTTCATAACTATTTTACAACAATTTCATCTATGTATATTACTATTCTTTTTAGAAAATATAATGACATATTAATATAGTGTCAATATAAGCCCACAATTATATATGTTTCTTTTAATTTTCACACATTTTAACAAAACAATTAATATTATTTTTATCATATTGAAGATGTACAGTACACATTAATCTCAGATCTTAAAATATATAAGAGACAGTGAATAAACCATACATGATGCATCATGTGCTTTAGCATGACTTTATTATCAGAAGCTTGTTTATAAATTAAATTTGGCTTACAAATTTTTATAAATACAAATCTTGAGTTAATTTTTTTTTTCTATTCAACTTGGATGTTTTTTTTTCTCAATGAAGGTTTGTAGCCTTAAAGAAGTATTTGGCTATATATATATAGATCGGTTATGTTCTGTATCTTAGTGTATATAATTTTATGTACATATAAGTGTTGTCACGATAGCAAACGTGAATAAGAAAACTCACATTTACAACTGCTAAGTGTTTTTGATAGATTTGGAGAACTTAAAATTTTTTTTTTTTTGAAGAATAGAAAAAAACAGCAAAATTTATGAGATTGATTAAAAAAATGAAATCTGAGGGTTGGATTAGTTATAAAACTGTTGTTAACGTTAAGTTTTTACGTTATCAAATTAGAGATGTGTTGCCATGTCACATCCGCTAGTAACTGAGATTGGTGTCAACCTGAGTTGTTGAAATTGTAAAAATCTGCTTCTATAGACCGACCATTAAGCTGATGATGAAAGTGTGTTCTCCTAAGTAGAGGAATTAGTGTGTTTGTTGACTTAAAAGTGTTGATATTTTGCATTTCTATTGGTGTCGCTGTAATGGGTTTATTACAAAACTACAAAAGTTGCATCCTTACATCAAGTTATCAAATTGGATGTTCTGTCTGTATAATCCATTGATATACTCCATAGAGCGTTTTGATACATTCTCTGATGTCTGAGATTATATCATGAAAGGAAGTAGATGAATATTTATTCTATTCAATCTTAGTTTCAGGTTTCAAGAAAACATGTTTTTTTATAAGGCGGATTCATCTATTGTTTATCCTGTATCACTTTTGCTTGACTGTTTTCTTCTTCTTCTTCTTCCAGACAACGTTGATTTGGGAACAGCTTGTGGAAAGTACTTCCGTGTTTCTTGTCTGAGCATCGTTGATCCAGGTAAACAAAATTTGAAAATACCATTACCTAACTACTTGTTTACTACATACTCGCCAGCTTCTTGTTCAGGTTGTTGGGTCTTCGTCTGATCTTGATTTTGTCTTTTGATTGGTTTTAGGTGATTCTGACATTATCAAGAGCATTCCTGGCGACCAGTGATACCATTTTCGATTTTGTTTTCACCCCTACTTGTATGGATTTTCTCAAATTTTTTGAGCAAAAGATCTTGTGTTTGGTCTTTTGTTACTTTTACATTATGAACCGGATATGAAAATATAAATGGGGTTTTGACATTTCTGAGAGTCAAATTCGCTGTTCTATCTTTTAAGATGTATCAAATTTCATTCTCTTTTTCAAATTCTTATTTCCTAATCAAGAAACTTAATGTTGAACCGTGAATTGAAGTTCTGGTAAATATAAAATATAATATCTACATGTAAGAGAAGTTGAAACAGAGACAGAGTACCAAGTGCTTAGTTAGTAGTTACTTGAAGAAGATATAAAGAAAGGTGAAGCTTTCGAAAATGTTTACTTGGCTGTCTCTTCCTCCTCTTCTTCAGTATCAAGCTCGAGACCTTCAGCTGCTAACAGCTGAGTGATGAGCTTCTTCTTATCCTCCTCAGCCTTCTTTCGCATCAAATCTCTTTTCTTCAATACCAACGTGTGTCGCTTCAGAGTACTGTTAAACAACTGTCTTAACACTTTCTTCTCCTTCTCCAGTATCTTCCTCTCTTCTTCCGGATCCACCTTAACAAATTTCACCAACATTCTCAACACAGAGCAAAAGAAAAATCTCATAAACACTTGTTAGTCTTTACCTTAGAACGCGAAAGACGACGAGCACGCAAGTTTATCTCAAGCTGTTGTTGCTCAGCCCAAGCTGCAATGGCCATGTCACCTCTCTGATCAAATGCTTTACGCTTCTTCATCAGCCATTCCATCCAAGCTTGTGATGCCTTCATTGGATTCACTCGGTTATCCATATCGTACTGTCTTCTCTTCTCAGTTTCCATGAGCAGCTCGTAGGCAGCCTGAATCTTTATGAATCTACTTTCTGCTGTCTCTCCTTCCTCAAGCGTCCCTTTCCCATCATAAACTACACACAACACACAACTCATGCAATAAACAAACAAAAAAACAACTTCTTGAGCATAAAGTGACTCATCATGTAGAGGTTATTGGACATAACACAATACTGAGATGTATAATCAAATGACTTCTTGGTCTTGTGTTGCTATAACCTCACAAACACTTAAACTAACCCAAGTTCTAGACTTTGATTGAGCTCTAAAAGATGTAGAGAAGTACCATCAGGATGATCGTACCTGCAACTTTGCTTATTTCTCAAACTTATGCATTTGCTTTTGAGATGTTCTTTCCAGTAGATGCAGTAGTCTACCTGAAAGTGTTGAGTTACCGGAATCAACATGTATAACCTACAATCAGACTGAAACTATGAGTAATCAGCATGATAAAACCCCAGTAATTAGTCGCCAGAAATCCAAGAAACTCATGATGGAAAGATTAAGTTGACTTAGGGTATCTGAATCTTGATATATAAGCATCCACCCTTCTGGCTTGTGCTTTAATTGATGGATCAGTATGAACCACAACTCGAACCAAAAGATGCAATCGTGAAGATCAAATCGCATACAAAAACATAAGCCCCCAAAAAAAAGAAATAGAATTGCATCTATAATATTAGAGAAGATCGAACCTTTAATTCTGTTTGAAAGCGTTTCTGCTGCCGACTCGATTTTGGGTGGATTTAGGATTAGATATAGCGCTTTATATAAGAAGAGGATCAACGGGAAGTGAAACGAAGAATTAAGAAGAGTTTATAGATCATCATTGGTTGATCAGTAACTGAAAATTCTGAGTTTGGAGACGAACTCGAAGTGGAAGAGTCCGACAAAATATCGACTCTCAAACTCTCAGAGAAAAGGTGACCTGGCAGCTCTCTTTATTTTTTTTTTCTTTTTTTTTTTTGAACACCAAATGCTTATATTAAAATTAAAAGTCCAAAGGACGAAGTCGATTACAAACGGAGAGATCCTCGACGTTAAACTGATAAACGAAAATAACTAAGAAATGATGAAAGATAGATGTGGCTAAGGAGAGAAGAGACCCACAGAGAAGCTTCACTTGTAGTCCTAAAGCCTGCGTTCGAAGAAACGCAAAGAAGTCGAAACCGACGTTGAAGAACCCAACCAATGGGTTTTGAGAGCAAGAAGTCCGGGAGCCTCCGTAGATAGTGACTCCGGTGAGAGGGTCGCAGTGCCGACTCTGTGAAGAACCGTCGATGCTTGAGACGGCGTAATGTAATGGAAACGCAGCGGTGACGTAGTAACAATTAGATCTGGCGAGTCCATACTCTTGCATAGTAATTCCTACGAGAGAGAAATGGGTGGGGGATCGTGGAACCGACTTTGTGAAGAACCGTCGATGCTTGAGACGGCGTATTGTGAAGGAGACGCAGCGATGACATAAAAGCGAGAAGATCTGGCGTGTCCACACTCTTGCACAAAAATTTCGGCTACGAAGAAAAGGGTAAGGGAACCGTAGGGCCGACTCTAGAACCGCCTCTGTGAAGAACCGTCGATGCTTGAGACGGCGTAATGTAATGGAGACACAAAGATTATGTGAAAGTGAATAAATCTGGCGAGTCCATACTCTTGCACAGTAGACGTTATGGCAGTTGAAAAGAATAGTTTCGGATCTGAGACAAATCTTTGGAGAGGTCGTTGCTTTAATCGAAAACTTCACAATGAAAGATTCTGCAGACAAACCAAAGCCCAAAAGATGGTCGGAGCCATGTAGAGTCTCGGTTGGGTATGAAGGAGAGGAGATGACATAGGTCGAAGAGAACAATCGCGGACCGGACGCAAAGAATTCAGTGGAGATAGTAGAAACCATCTCCATATGGAGGACGAACATCACGACTGCGTGGGGGGCGGTGGTGGTGGTTTGTTGCATCAGAAGAGAACCGTAGCCAATCGTTGCGTGAGAAGCGTTAAAAGACGAAGTGGAGGTGGTAATGAAGGTGAGGAGACTGTGGGTTATGCCAGGAGGTGTTGTGCCTGCGGTGAAAGAGATACGGTGGGAGTGGTGATGGTATCTAACCGTGTAACAGAGATGCGTCAGTTCTGGGCCTCGAGAAGGTGGAGTGACAGTGTGATGAGGCGGAGGAAGTGCTTCTCCTCTGACGTTAGCTCGTTCCAGCAAAGGACAGAAGCAACTCAGGGAAGGATGGAGTTGTGCGGAGTTCGGGGACGAAGTGAAGGCGGAGAGGCTACCAGATCCGTTGAGTTCCAACTTAAGATGTGCAGATCTGTCGACGAGGAGGGGAGTATAAGACAAGGCGGCGGTGGCGAGAGATGTAGACGAAGCGGCGGCAATATAACGGCGAAGAGAAGAGGCGGTGGTGTTGTACCACCGAAGAGAGACAAAGACGCCGGAAACTATGAGGAGCAGGGAGAGGTAGCGACGCCGACGGCCAGGGGCACCGCCGGCGTCGAGGAAGGGAGAGTTCCGGCGCACCTCGGGAGCTGTGTTTGAGAGCTTCTATGCGGCTAGGGCGAACTCCTACTTTACTAAAAATGACCTGGCAGCTCTCTCTACTCAACTTTGTAGGGTTTTCTTTTTATTATCAGGTCCGAATTCGCATTTCAATTTCGAAGACAAACCAATTGGTAATTGGATTTCTCATAGACAAACCAGAATGACGTGGCTATTTTAAGCCATTTGATTGGTAAATATTTGTGGTGACGTGGACATATTAAAATGGCTTCATTTGTCCATTTTATTTATAACTAGTGGTTTGCCCGCCCTACGGACGGGTGTATATACAAAAAATTATTATATTTGATTTTTTTAAATTTCTAAAGCACTATAAAAACTATTTTAAATAAAAATACAAAACTATAAACTAACAAATAATAAACTGAGTTCTGAGATCAAATTGTTTTTCCGTAAACTTTTTTGGTTTTGAATTAAAAGTAACATTCATTATTTTGTATATAGAATACAACAGTAACAAAAGTGATTTAGAAAAATGTACTGTTATATTTTGTTTCCTTTTCTTTTTACTTTGACATAAGAAAAGAAAATCTAAAGCTTAAATTAAAAAAATCTATTTACTTCAAGAATTTTCAAATTTAAAGATTTACTAATTAGGTTTTTCATGATAATAAATTAATCCACCACCACAACAAATCAATAAAAATATAATAGAGTTTAATAAAATATTAAACCTAACGTTTAAATACTATATAAATAGTTTCAATAATATCAAATATAATAATTAGTATTTTCAAATTGAATAGTAAACGACATTTTAAAATATATATTTGTTTGAGTGCATAATTATATTTTGAATGAAATTTCAATCAGTCTTAGTGTTTTACTGATTATGTTTTGTTAATTATTATAGCTTTTGGTGAACTCTATTTAATAACAAAAGTATCTGTTGAAACTTCTTCTCATGATATTTATAATATTTTTTTAAAAAATTAGTATTTTGTAAACTAAAGCATGATACTTTCAAATATGAGCTAAACTGTTATATTAGTTGAGCTCTATTTAGTAACAAATTAATTGTTGGAGGATTTGTTTTTGCTTTAGTTACATACTACATATCAAATAATTTAATCAAAAAATAACATGAGCCAAATTCTAACTAAACAGAATGAAAACTTAAATATAATATAACCATTAATAATCTAGAAATCAAGATGAACCAAACCGCATATAAATGTTCACATAAATTCATTTTTTTCATCAATAATGAATCTATTCTGTGACTTGTGTTGGACTTGTATTGAATGAAATCCTATAATTCATTTCTCATCAAAGGTTCTATTCTGAGTTTTTACATAATACCATAAAAACATTGTTAAACATATATAAATTACATAATAAATGGAATAAAATAATCAAAGAAGATGTTAGTTTTATATTACAAATCCCTAAAAGGCACACTACAAAACAAAATGTATAAATAATATCTTCACTCCAAACATCGCTCTCCTTTCTATAACTTCATCTACTTCAGGAGCAATATAATAACACTTCCTACTATATAACTGTAAACCATTCATGTAAGCATATGAAGACGAAATAATTCAAGTAAAATGACATAACATGACAATGTAACAGTGGTGTTGAGGCCACCTTTCTAGACGTAGGTCAGCATTACACGCTGTGTCCACTGCATGTGTACCATCGTTGATTGTGCTCTTGATTGCAATGACTTAGTCAAGAATGTCTTGAAAATTTTGAAGAAGAGGTCCGTAAGTGCGGTGGAGAAATTATAAAGCAAAAGATTTTATATAGAAGTTTAAAAGACCCCACTTTTTGAGAATGCTAGTGCTCTTTCCACATTTGTTGTCAAGGCATATATATGTTCCCGATGTAGCGTTCAGAAACAGCCTCTCTGTAAGGATATTCAACCAATAAACAGCCAACATAGTGATTACTTTGAGAGCTTTTAAATCTGTCTAGCATCTATATATGTAGTTAGCAAACGTGAATGAGGAGGTTTCTGAAACTTGTGTGGACTTTTCATATGAAAAAATGGACCCAAAGGTTTGGATGATAGCTAAAATTTAATTCCTAAAATAGAGTGGACCAAGCGTATGTAGGAGTTGTTTCTTACCTCCAAGAAGTTTTGGATTTATATTTGTTGCAACGACCCCCTTTGGTTCAACACCAGATTCTAGTAATTTTTTTTTTAGGTTCAGCTAGCCTGTCAAAAACACTGAAGTATACATGAGTGTCCCAACAGTGGAAAATATTAGTTAATCATCGTTTATAACAGAGCATACACATATATACAAAACGGGGTACTGAATAGAGGCATAAGATTTCTCAAATACCTTTGAAGCCTTATTGTTACCATGAGGTGTTAAGTGCTCTGAGTCTTTTAGTTGTAGATGGTTTAACGCCTCAATTCTTCCAACGATATCTGCTAACCAGTACAACTAATAGGGATAATTCTCTGTGAAATGTATACTCATAATATGGAGTGATCGTTTAGGGATTTCAATATTAAAACCTGGCAAATAAGTATCTGTATTGGCTAGTGACATGAGCTGGAACCTAAAACACTCCGTGGAGCAAACTTGAGGGTCGGATTGCTTCATGCAATATCGAGAACACTTAGTTGCACAATGTTCTTGAAAGTGTTAAGAGGGTGGATGTTGTTGAGTGACCCTTGGATAAGGGTAGCCTGTGACATGAAAGGATGAATCATAAGAAAACAAATTGCGATTCTCATATTTTGTTTTAAAAAGGTAAAAAAATTTATGGTCGTACCTTCGAATCAATAAGGTCCATAGCAACACACATCAGTTCACTCCATTTCTTAACATTTTGGGCTTCCCAAAATCGAAGGAGCCTTGTCTGCACTTTTTCTCGTCAACGCCTGGTCTTCAATTCTGTGGAATGAATTCGAGAGGTCGTCATGAGTTCAGAAATTAACAGAAGTTTTGCAGTCAGAAAGGGAAAAATATTAAGCTTACGTTTTACGGATTCATGTTTTAGTATTTTCTTCCGGGTGTATACTCGAGTATCCGACGACCCAGAAGCTCCATTAATGGTTTCTGATACCAGAAAAAAACATTTTCGTAACAACAAACTAAAACAATTTTGCAGGGAAGAGAAAGAGAGATAGAAGGAAGGAACAAAGACCTCGGTTTTACCATAGTCGACACTCTAAGCGTTTACAATGGAAAGCCGAAGAGGTGGATTGAATAATCATGGCAAACCCAGAGGTAAGCTTGAAATAATGAGAGAGCAAAAGCGTTATGGTATTGTGATCGACAGATGTTTCATCGGCGATATTTGAGAGAAAGGCAGCGAAGATGAAGATAGGAAGAAGAAACCCTAACACATTTGGGTTTGGCATATGGTCCCTACG